CTTTCTTCCTCGTCCATACATACTTGTAGAGTACGAGAGTAGTAACTAATTAGTAGTTAGTTTTAGGTTCGTTACTAAACAACCTACTATTAGTAGTCATTTAGGTAGGTGCGTCCTAACTTAATTAGTTAGTAGTATATATATATATATATATATATATATATATAAGAATTGATTTTTAGAAATATTGAAGCAATACTCATTGTGGTAGTGATGTGAAAATATCAAAAGTACTGCCAAATAGCGCCCATCATATTTGAGATTCTCATAGTGTCAAGATCTCCAAACATGCAGAAAAGAGACGTCAAAGTATGCGATCCCTAAAATCTTCTTCAGCACACCCAATAGTTTCCTAGGAATGAAGCAAGAGCTGAACACCATCTCTTCAACATCTCTTTTTTTAATTATTCTTCAACTTACTATTGCTTAATTCTTCTTGATAAGTACATCCCATTTATTTACCACCATAGATAAATTCACTTTTTCCAATACAAACGTCATCTCCTCACATTGTATAGCTATAAAAAAAATCAAATGTATTGGGTTAACTATTACATTATCAATACGATTTCATTGCCATTAAATGCTGAAATTCAGCTCCTTACTCAAATGAGATGCAAACTGTATAATCAAATATCTTTCATTTATATGCAGTATATTAACTCAAGTCATTCATATATGAAACCATTAACATGCTCACACATAAGAGCATACTGTCATAGAACCCATCAATTTTAATCAAGCAGTCCATAAACAAGCCACCTTCGCATGTTAGAGTTCAATCCAGTTCAAAGATCGTAATGAAGTAATTAAGGTATCAGTCTTGAAGCCCTAGATTGCAACCCACAATCATAAAGCACGGTTTGTGCACTAAGTGTACCAGGAGACAAATACAATCATAAACAGCAGCAAAAGTTTGAAAGAAAACGTAACAAATATCGCAGAATCAAATTATATACAGCAAGCAGAGCACACTGAAGCACATGAAAACCAGAAATTCAAATTATAAAGAAAAGAAAAATGCTCAGTTACATTAGGTCTGATCTCAAAGATACTTTGAAACCAAAATGCAAACAGTAAACCAACATCCCCAAATTAAAAATGAGGAATTCGAATAAAAATCACGGGGAACCTCACATCAAAAAACCCATAATCAATATGAAAAGTAAGAGGAAAAAAGAGGAACGTGTGGCGAGAGAGAGAGTGCAATACAGGACTTTGCATGGGAAGCTCCAAAAGCAAAATAAAACACGATACAATGGAAGAAAAAGAGAGAGAGGGCCACCGGAAAACCCATAACCAAATTGCAACATATCAAAGAGAAAAGAGAGAGATAGAAAGAGAGGACATACAGAGACTTGATCCTTGAGTTTCTGAACCTTGTTTCCAAACGCCGAGCGTGTTAGCTCAGATTGGGGAAGAACCGTGGAAACGGAATACCTGCGCGTAAGGGGAAGCACTCTCTTGTGATCTTCGACCTCAAATGACTTTCTGGGTTCAAAACCAGGAACCTCCCAGTTCCACCTGTTTCTCTGTTCACTCATTTCACCTCTCTCACTCTATCTCCGAACTCAGAGCTCTAGAGATCAGGCGATAATGGAGCTAGGGCGTCCCCATTGTCGCAGAAGCAATGGTCTCCCTCTCTCTATGTCGAGTGAAGGCGTTTGTGCTTTCTCTCTACAAGAAGAGTGAAGCAGCTTCTGTTCTCTCTCTATATCTCTCTCTACTTGACGTGTGAAGCCTATCTGCGAGGAACAAGAGCCAGAGGATATGAAGGGGTGAAATCCCCTTTGGAGATGACCGATTACGATATATTATGGATTTTCGAGTCACTCCCGAACGTTTTTACTCTTTCTCCCGCCCGATCCTCTCAAACTCTCACTCTCTCTCTAAAATTTGTATCTCTCTCTCTCTCTCTCTCTCTCTCTCAAATTTGTCTCTCGCTCCGCACCTCTCCTCTCTTCTGACCGCAAAATTCGACAACTTGATAAAATTTCTTCTATCTAAAGTCGCTCTCTTTCTACGTCCCGTTCTCTCTATAGATTTTCTGTCCCTTTAAATTTCACATTCTCTCTCTAAATTCGTCTCTCTCTATCGATGATACGCTTCCACTTTTCTGGTCTCATAATAATTTCGGTTCACATATTAATACTTCGCAAAATTACAAATAACTTCCAATTAGACTTTCTAAACAAGTTACACCCTTGAAATCTTCTTACTTTTTTTTTCAAAATATACTTTCTAGCAAGTAAAAAAATATTTTTTTTTGACAAAAATACTCTTTTTTTTACACAAACTTAATTTTGGCCTGGCATTCACTTGGGCTTACATACGCTACCGGACCGATCTTTCGCATTCTTGGACCGCACTTTGGGCTTGTTGTCGAAATGCATGGGCTTGTTGTCGGATCGCATGGGCCTATTGTCGGACTGCTCTTTGGCAGTGCCAGACTGCATGGTCCTATTGCTGGAACGTTCTTTATCAGTGTTGTACCACCACTTGTACTGCCAAACCCCTACTATTATTTATTGCACCAACATTACACTGTCAGAAATACGTCGGACCGCCGTTTCGTGGGAAAGAAGAGAGAGAGGCATGGGTAAAAGTAAAAGAAAGTAATTTATACTTTTTTTTTTTTTAGTTGGGGGTATTTGCTAAAAAATTTTGTTTTGATTTGAAAAGTGAGTAAAAAAAGTTTGCTCGGGAGTACCTTGCATAAAATCATAAAAAAATTATTGAGGGTTGTTTGTAATTTTCCCTATATTTTACTAGTAATTTGGAATTTTAAATTAAATTCTTTTTGAGACATAAATTAATACGGAAATCAAATGGTGTCTTCCGTTTAACGTCTTTTTATGGATTAAGGCTGATTGCCATAAGGACCCCTCACTAACTACGCAATGTCCAAATAGGCCCTGACTATATTATAGGTTTGTCTTTTTTTTAATAGAAAGTTGTTTCATGTAGCTGGACCGCATGACTATATGTGCAGTCCAAAAAGGGTAAAGCATCCATCTTAAAGATGGAAGTAAGTACGTGTTTCATCTAAAAAAAATGGAAACTAACGGTTCAAATGTTTTATTACTAAAATTATTATTTTAAATTTTTAAATTTTATTTATTTTTTCATATTCATGATTTTCATATTAGATATTACATATTCTTAAAAATTAAGTCCAAAAATCCATTTCAAAAATAGATTTTATTAATGCATTTCTATATATACAGGCTTGGCCGTATAAATTTTGAGTACATTTTTGTCCCCCTTTTTTTCTTTATGGTTTCCTACTTAGCTCCCTATGGTTCAAATTAAGATGAATTTCACAAAATTTTAATTGGAAGAATTTTGTACCATAGTTTTAAATTTGGGAAATTTTCAGCTATAATATTTGAATGAACTAAGCAATGGTGGTCAAATAAGCTTCCAAAATTTCAGTAAAATATAAAATTGAATTCCTTATCTAATAATAACAGTTTTTGTATATTGTCTTAAAAAAGACAAGCTTCTATACTTCCCCTATAGCATAGAAGATCTATGCTTCCCCTACCATCCCGCCGTCCAATTTTGATCAAGAGAGCCACTCACCGTTTGATCTTAGATCCGAAATCTGAAAGTATTTTATCTTTACTTTTTTTTTTATACAAATTATATGAATATGAAATTTGGTACGTGTCATCTTCTCATTGGGGCACACGTATAAAAAATATTAAAAATAAATTTTTGATAATATATAATGACCAAAATACCCCTTAAATCTTTTAAAGGTATTTTGGTCATTTTATTTTATTGGAAACATTTTTTTTATATTTTTCGCTAGTGTGAGTTTAATAGAGGATTGGACGTCCTAAATTTAGTGTTAGAATAGTTTATAAAAAAAATTAAAAATAAAATAGTGTAGAGACGTGACATTGTCATTGGGGCAATCTTAGCCCTCCATTCAGAATGGACGGTTGGATAAAGGGAAGTGTACAAGTTTTATGCAGTAGGAGAAACATAGAAAGCTTGCCGTCCTTAAAACCGGATTTCTATCCAAAATGTTAAGATGTATTTCGTTGTTGCCGATACCCAAAAGTATCTAAATACGACATTAATTTATGGATATTTTGATGAACCAAATCAAGGCAAGTTTTGTACCAAGTCGCATAACTTTGGTGGAAATCCTTTCTCCAACTGAAAGTAAAATATAAAGATGTTTATGAAAATAATAATCTTTCCTTACTCTATGGTTAATCTTCATGATTTTTATTTCCCTCTAATAATAGAACCATTCATTAGGTTTTTGTGAAAATTTAATTATTTTTGTCTATAAACCTTTTCTCATTCAAAATGGGAACACCCTCAAGGAAAAAGAATAGGAAGTGAGCAATTGATCTATCATAGCATCATGAGGGCTTAGATGTATCGTCCCATAAACAAAATGGGCACTTGGTACTTTCCCTTAGAAAAATTTAAGCACTATAATCTAGGTTTTCCCTTGGACTGTAATCTAGGTTTTCCCTTGGACCAAAAGATTGCTTGGCTTTGAAGATGTCCCATCGATTGATGAAGTAACTAATAAGCCTTTAGTGCACCCACCGGCCAATCCAAATGGACATAAGATATAACCAATTTCTATCTCTTCTTTTACATTGAGTGTTGGTGACACCACTAAATAATGGAATTAATATATGTGCATTTCTGTCTAAAAGAACATTGAGGTTAGGGTTCAAAAAACTAACTCTTAAACTTACCAAATTTCCCAAAAAATAATAAAAAAACATCAAGATTAGGATCCCATAATGTGGGAGAATATGCTTTTTAGCCAAAAAATAAAAATAAAAAATAATAATAAGTTTACGTACGGACCATATTGGAGGGGTCAAATATAAGATGGGAACACGTTTGTCTCAAATTACGGATGACACCCCCTCCTCCCTCCACGATATTTTTTTTCTCAAGTTACCCCATTTTTTCAAGTTACCCTATGTACGGTAAACCGAACACCGGACATATGAGTTTTTTAATTTGTATGAAAAATAGTTGTCCGATAATGCAAATACCGAAGAACTCTCTAAATCTCTAAAACCAACTCTGTCATTTCTTTCTCTTATTTATCTTCTATGTGACGCTTTATGTCCTCTCTCTCTAAAACCAACACAGTAGACACTGCACCTCTAATGCCATAAATACCGCTCCTTAACCCATCCAAAATTACCATTTCTTTCACAATGTCTCTTAGAGCGTATTTGATGACAAGAAGTTGAAACTTACCTTTTACGATTCATTTTGTGTGTTTGATAAATAAAGATAAAATAAATAAGTAATTATTTTTTACTATTCTTCTTCCCACTTTTATTTAAAAATAATAATAATAAAAAATAAAAATAAAAAATAAAATAAAATATGTAAAAAAGCATTAAATTTAAAAAATAAAGTTTTGCCCACGTGAAAACCGGTGAAAAAAGCCTGCGCGCTGCTCTCGTCTGCTCGTGCACAGATCCTCTCTCATGCCTCTCTCTCATGTGTTCTCTATCATCCCCGACCTTCTCTATCTCTTTGGGGATATCACACCTTTGCACTCTCTCTCTAGAGCTCTCACACCCTTGCACTCTCTCCCTTTGTGCAGGGCTCTCACACCTCTACATTATCTCTCTAGAGCTCTCACATCCCTGCACTCTCTCTCTCTGTGCACTAAGGCTCTCATACCTATGTACTCTCTCTAGAGCTCTCACACCCTGTGCTCTCTCTCTCGCTGTGCACAAGGGCTCTCAGACCTCTGCACTCTCTCTTTAGAGCTCTCACACCCCTGCACTCTCTCTCTCTGCAAATCCCTCTACTCCCAATTTGGGATGTGATGGGTTACTGTAGAAGATTTTTTAGATCAATTTTTCTTTTTTGGGGGTAAATTATCTGTAAATGATAGATTTTTGGGGCTTTTGTTTATTTTTTCACTTTTTTTTGTTTCTTATCAGTTTTGGATTCTCAGTTCATCAGAGTGACTTGGATGACGAAGACGACAATGTGAAGCAGCTCGACCACTGCGCCATCCTTTACTTGGCTCTTCAGGTCTCTCCCTCTCTCTCTACATATTTCATAACTCCTAAGTGTTTGAACCCATATTTGTTCACATGATTTCCTTGTGAATACCAACAGGAACTGGAAATCTTGCCAACCAAGTAAATGTCTTGGCATCACAAGCTTAATAGAGGTGGGGCCATGAATTTAAATCCATTTTAGGGTATCATTATGTTTCTTTTGTTGTGGTTTTTACTATTTCATTGGGTTGACTTGGGTTGTTATTTGGTGTAAGCAATAAATGTGGTTTAGCTATTTTGATTGGCTTGGCGTCATTTGCATGATTGTTTAGTGGAATTGTCTCCTCTTTGGATGTTGCCTTTCTTCAGATTTTCTATTTGTAGATGAAATCTTAGTTATTTTTTTCATTATTTCCTTATCGAATTCAATGAAGCCATTTGGTCTTGCTTTTCATGGTAGAATTGGTGTAGTTCACATAAAACAAGAGTATGCAAAGTGATTGGTTAAATTCATATCTAAAACAGCTTCCATTCAACTCTTTCAAGTCATTTACTTCATTGGATATATAGAAGTTCTATTGGGTACTTTTTTTCTTCTTTATGTTTTCATGTTGTTATTTTTCTTATTAAATATTGTTAATTATTAGTATGATGAAAGTTTTAACTGCTATTTCAAGGATAAACAATCAGGGAGCCAATTGACTGAGAGCCGAATGGGCCTCCATGACCTTTTTGTCTTCTCAATGGGAAAACATCCCCTGAATTTCATCTCCTAAAAAGCATCAGCAAAGTTCACAATCTCGTTATTGTTAATCGGTATAAAAACCATTTTCAGTACATCTTATGGCTTGATTGTTCTTTCATTGTATACAAGGTCCTTTTTACCCTTGTGTTTTTACTATTTATTCTTTTCTTGCGACGGTATGCGAATGTGAGATCATAGTAGCATGTGTTGTAGATCATTGTGGAAGAAGACTTGCTTAATGAGGTGTGGTCTGCTTGAAAGAGTTAGATTGCTTTGCTACTATCTGTTGAAGAATCAACTCTTAGGCTAGATCCACTAGAAGGTACATTGATAAGTGCAGTACTGAATTTTACCATCTCCTTGTGAAGCCGAAAATTTGTTGAAGAAATTATTATGCGGTTCATTTTTTTCTCCTATAGTACTTGCCAAAACGGATGGGGCATTAGAAAGATCAGTGCTATTTAGTATATATGAAAGATCATTTGCATCTCGTTCGTATACAGGAAATGCTTGCATGGAGGTCATAAATATTGAGATTGAATACCATAGTCAAGCTGTCATGAAAGATCTTATCTTTTGAAAACTATACTTATAGGTATGTCCAATTACTTTTTTCACGCAGAGATATTATCCCACGGATGTTTACTATGTATTTGTTGTATGATTATAGAGACAAATGTAAGTATCTGCAAACATATGTATGTTTATGCACACGTGATCAGAAGCTTCTGGAGATAATATATGTGTGATGATTTAGGCTCTTTTATGGTCTCTACGTACTGGTGACTCTAGGCTCTTTATGATCTCTCTCAATCCAACGTATTTTACTTTTAATTGATATTTTATCTTAAAAAATAAAATTCAAAAAATTAATAAATAAATATATAATATCCAAAGTCTTAATTTTAAGATTTTACATTTTGTCTATTACTTCTACGGTTAATTATCAGTCTTCATATTACCCAGAATTTCCTAGTCTTTCAGTCTTCCTATTACTCAGAACTTCAGAGTCTTTCAGGATGTCAAGGTATGGGAAGACCCATTTTTCTCTCTTCTTCTTCTTTATCATCTTTCTCTTTCTCTCTCTACTCTGCTCAAAAAGCCCCATTTTCCAGCACAAACACTCGTTCGATTGAGTGCTACGGAGAATTGTTGATATCTCCTTCTTGAGAACCAACCGCCTCTTTACGACAACAAATCCCATCTTTCTCTCTCTCTAAAACAATCAACAAATTTTTAATGTTTTCAAAGAAAATCTACAACCCAAATTTTCATGTCTTTGGGCAAAAGACCAAAGATAGTTAGTAAAAAACCAGCTCATCATTATCAAAGAAAATCCACAATCCAAATTTTAATGTCTTTAGGCAAAAGACCAAAGACAGTTGGTAAAGATCAGCTGGTAGACAGAAACCCAATATCATCATTTGCAAAGAAAATCCACAGCCCAAATTTTCACGTCTTTGGGAAAAGACCAGTTGGTAAATCATTGCTCTGCACTAATTCACAGACCGAACCTCCTTTGACAGGGTTTAGAGAGAGAGAAGAGTGAGAGTATAATCAAGAGAGGGAAGGAGTTAGCCATGGATGAGAAGAAGATGGGAAATGGGAGTAAGGTTTTAGGGGGAGGTTTTAGAGAGAGAAAAGAGGAGGTTTGTTTTGGATGCATATCTTCTTCTGCATGCATGAGAGAGAGAGGGGAAAGAGTTGGATTTAATTTTTGGAAAGGAATCGGGGTTGGAAGCACGGAAGGCGGAGGAAATTCCGAGTTGTTAAAATAGTGAGTTTCTCCTGAAAATCCACTACCCAAATTTTATCAACAGCAAAAAAGAAAGAACGAGAAAAGGTCCAAATTCATGATAGAGAGAACCTCGGTTCTAATCCACAGAGGAAACAATGCAAAGCCCCTTCAAAATGCCTGATTAATTACCCACTTTCTAGAAAGAAAAACCCAATTTGTTTGCCTTGAACCAAAGGCTTGAGCCCCTGAAAACAAGATTCACCACCCTTACCAGCAGCGGAGCAACAAATTTCTTTTAATCAACCGAGCAGCCAATTTGGTTGCTCTCTATTGTACAGAGAGAGGAAAGAGAGCCTGCATCAGATTGAAGGGAAATGAGGGAATTTGGTTTTGGGGATTCGGAGAGCAATGGCATTTTGCATTTCCGGACATTTATTTTTGATTCGGCTTACGAGAGTGGGAATAACTTGGAGAAAAAAATACCGGGAGGGAGAGGCGCCCGTAACTTTGGACAAATGTGTTCTTATTTTATAATTGACCCCCCAATATGGTCCTGTATGTAAATTTATAAAAATAAAAAATAAAAAAAAACACAGGAACCAACTGGGAGAATAACTTACATTAAATGGGAATCTTCATGTGGTTTTGGTCTCATTTGAATCCTTTTAGCCTCACTCCTAAAGTTGGTTGGTCTCACAATTGTCAATAAATAAACTTGAGCATAAACGCCATAACATGGTTGAAGTTTCTTTGGTTTGGGCAAAATAATGCTATCCCCTAGTAGGGGAAGAAAAAAGGAAAAGGAAACAATCTACGGGTAGGACTGGGTTCAAGATCATGTAGTCAAGATGGCACGGTGCTGCAACATGATATCCTGAGTTCAATTTTTACAATAGTTTGGGAACTTCTTTCCAAATGAACTACCAAAAAAAAAATAAATAAATCAATTAGTGCTCTTAATTGTTTGGTTTTACTTATCAAAAAAAACCTCGCATGATCGTAATTGAATTTTTGGTTATTTAACTTCGATTAATCCTAATGAATGGTTATTTAACTTTGATTAATCATAATATATGGTATGGTTTTGCTTTGAATTAATCAAATTGGATCATGAAAATGGCATTGATGGAAAATGAAAGCTTGCACCTGCCCATCTGGTTTAGATAGGCTAGTCTGGAATACCAATTATGCTTAATTGGATATATTTTTTAGATAAATTCATTTTAATTGACTAGTTTTGATGAGATAATTTAATTGCACATATATTTCCACTAAAATAGGTAGGTATCACCATTGGTTATCGTTAATAGGTTCGGTTTAGATGTTAGGGCCATATCAATGACAACTTGTTTGATACATGTACAAATCCCAAAAGTAGTGAAACGAGTCTCTCAACAAGGAGATTAGAGAAAGTATTGGCCACTCTCATGCTTTCAAACTCTGATTGTAGTGCAATAAGAAATCGAAACAAGTAAGATTGTTTTCTTGCTTTAATAACCTCAATGGTGGACTAAATCTTCAAGGATCCTATCTAATTCCATAGGGCTTTAGCATTAGACTGATATGTAATCTGCGCCCAATTTTGTTCTCTACCAAATTCATGATTCATGTAACAATACAACTATCTCAATCATTGTGCCGATTATTACACTGTCTCTCGAGAGGGCCAGATGTGACCACACTCTCTATGATTCCGTAACTCGCATGATAAAAGTGGTTAATGCCTCACAAGAAAGGGATGAGAACATGTTCTAGGAAGATATAATTGAAGGAACAACCAAATGAGATGGTTGGGTATATAAAAAGAGTAGCCCTTAATTATATATAAAAAAAGAGTGATTTACATAAAGACCTTAAATTTTTTTTCTAATATATGAAATGCTCCGTTTATAGGTAGAAATTACGAAGACGGTCGGTCAACCCTTTTTTTTTTTTTGTCAAAAATTGCCCCTTGGTCTGAGGATAAAATCCTTGATCTGAATTTTAATTTTCTTTTTGTTAGTTTTTTTATTAGCAAGGTAGTGCCCTACTCATGAAAAAACTAACAAAAACATTAAATTTTGGTATGAGGATGTCCTCAGACTGAGAGGCAATTTTGAAAAAAAAAAGATGATGGATCTTCTTTGTAAGTTCAACCTATAAATAGAGCATTTTATATTTTTTTAAAAAATTTAGGGTCAATACATAAATTTCTCAAAAATAAATAAAGATCAACTAAATTTTTTCTTGAGGTTGGGCTGCAATATGTCATGTCAAAGTGCTACTCTTGGTAGTCGATGACTTGAAAAGTACAACCATTGGCTCTCATTATGGACTGCAAGTAACCCTTGCAATAGACCAAGGTAGTCAAAGTCAAGAATAGTAAAGCGCATTCTTAGTGGCCCATGGATCAAGATCTCAATGGCCATGTTTTAAATAGCAAACAAGCGGGTTGATTTTGTTATGAATTATGATCATTATTATTTTTTCAACTATTTGGAGGTGGCTACACAAATTTTGATGTCATTCTACTCAATCAATGAATACTCCACTTCTTTATCTTTCTATTTCTCTTTTTGTAGGTCACTTTTCTATGTCGTACATCTTGCACTACCTAATGGACAAAACACCTTTACAAAGAGGTTCTACAATTTTAAACCATCCATTTAGTTTCTCTAACATATTGTGTCCATTGGGTGGTGCAAGGTGTATGAGAGAGAAAAATGATCTATAGAAAGAGAAATAGAAAGATAGAGAAGTGGAGTATTGAGAGGCCTTAAGGAATATGGGAGCTCTGCTATGGCTTTGGTTATATCATGTCCTTAGATTTGATGTTCATCTATAATTTGTCTTATCTCATTAAGTTTGGTTTTTATAAATTTGGTGGAATGTTTCTCTCTCCTAAATGTCCCTTGCCATCTCTCCCTTTCATTTTTATTTCTTGAAAAAATACATCCGCATTGAAAAATATTTTATGCATTACGGAATGGTATATTTTTTCCTGATATTTACAATGAGATCCTACTTTCCTACAATTTTAATTTTTCCAGTTTTGCACTTGATTCAATATCGAACCCTCTTTTTATTTTTATTTTTTAAATTATCTTGAATTGTAGGGGCGAGTTCAGGGATTATTTGAGTGTTGGTCTGATAATTAAAACATCAGATGAGGTGCCCGTGCCCAAATTTTATTTTGAGTGTTGGTCTAATTGAAACATCGGATGAGGTGCCCAAATTTTACTCCGAAAAAGATGATTGGAATAGAAAAATGAGTCGATGAAAATAAATCTCCCAAGGCAAGGAGTATGATTATTGCCTTTGTGACCTATTTTATGAGCTTGAGATGAAAGTGTGCCTCTACACTTCATTAGGACAATGTATCTTTGTGGAGTTGGTTTGGTCCAAAAGGTTTGATAGAAAATTGGTTTATTTGCCCAGAAGCTAGGGTTTCTACCTTGATTTCAGCCTAGATTTGAATGGGTATGAGGTTGGATGGGATAGGGTTTGAGTTTCTCTCTCGATAGAAGTCTTAGGGCCAGTTTATATATTAGATAAGCATTCATATTGGAAAAAAAAAACTGCAAGTTTATTAATCCTGAATCCAAGAATATTGTTTTGTATTTTAAAGGCCTCGTAGACTGTTTAGATGTCTTTAAAAATATTAGAAACTTATGCTTTACAATTTTTTAAAAGGAAAAAAGTTTTTATAAGGATGCTACCTTGTAATGTAGAACCACGGATGCCCCTAAAAATTCATAAAAAAAAAGTAGTTTTAATGTTGAAAAACCCTTTGACTGATCATCTCGACATCGAGATGTATGACTATGAAAAATAAAAAGATTTTAAGTATTAGAAATAATGCATTTTACAACATATTATCTACACCGTCCATTTTCGAGACTTTCATATGTTTATAGATCTATTTGATTTTAACCATTTTTGAAATTTTAAATTTTATAATTAGATATAAAAATAGATTTTGATATAATCCTAAAAGCATTTTACATCAAAATTATATACCACGATAAAGTTTG